TTTTTTTTTTGAGACAGAGTCTCATTTGTTGCCCAGGCTAGAGTGAGTGCCGTGGCGTCAGCCTGGCTCACAGCAACCTCAATCTCCGGGGCTCAGCGATTCCTACTGCCTCAGCCTCCCGAGTAGCTGGGACTACAGGCATGCGCCACCATGCCTGGCTAATTTTTTGTATATATATTATTTAGTTGGTCAATTAATTTTATTTCTATTTTTGGTAGAGACGGGGGTCTCGCTCAGGCTGGTTTGAACTCCTGACCTTGAGCAATCAGCCCGCCTTCGCCTCCCAAAGTGCTAGGATTACAGGCGTGAGCCACCGCGCCCGGCCTGTGATAGAAATTTTGACAGTCAAAATACCTTGGACTATTTTTATTTACAACCTTTTTGGGAAGTATGTTAAACATAAGTATTTTATCAAAGTTTTATAAGATATTCATCATATTTAATATTTTCATTTTCACAGCCTCTTAAAATAATGAGATAATTTCACTGGAAAGATAAGATAATCTGGAAAAAACAGCACAGACAGGTTTATGAACTATCATTGTCACTGATCAAAAAAGAATCAAAATTAGATTCTTTATAAGAAACTAGGTAAGTCTTTTATTTTATTATTTTTTTTCACACTGTAATATCTTTAATTAAATACAAATAACTTTTTAACATGTTATTATGTTACATGGAGACCATTTCACCCACTGCTCTGTTTGGCTGCCAGTCTCTTACCCCTCTCTTCAGCGATGGTGAGGCGGATACTTTTCCTCGAGGAAGAGAAACCCATGGTTTGTTGCCTTTGCCAATAACGAAAATGTTGGAGAGGCGAGTGGCAAAGCTGTTGCCATTGGCATCTTTCACGTGAACCACATCAAAAGACCCGATGTCTTTCTCTGTTGGTGATCACACCAATTCTTCCAAGTTAGCGCCTCCAGTCACCATGCACAGGTTACCAGTGTCAAACTTGATGAAATCAGTAATCTTGCCAGTCTCCTAATCAATCTGAATGGTGTCATTCACTTTGATGAGTGGATAAGGATAGCGGATGGTGCGAGCATCATGAGTCACCAGATGAGGGATTCCTTTTGTGCCCACAAAGATTTTTCTCAGCTTTGCACAACTTGTACTTGGCCTCCTCAGGTGTGATACGATGAACAGCAAAGCGACCCTTTGGTGTCATAAATCAGACGGAAATTCTCTCCAGTCTTGTCAATGCTGATGACATCCATAAATCCAGCAGGGTAGGTTATATCAGTTCTGACCTTGCCATCAATTTTAATGAAGCGCTGCATGCAGATCTTCTTCACTTCATCTCCTGTCAGGGCATACTTAAGCCTGTTTCTTAGGAAATGATGAGTGGGAGACACTCTCTCAGCGTGTGGGGACCA